TGGTATTCTGCATTCATTGCTGTATAATTTTACACTTTTTTCTTTTTTACTTCTACTGCTCCAAGCTTGCTGCAATCTCAATACAAACTAGAAGTCCATCACTGGAGCCATTTTTTAAAATGTATTTTATTTTTTATCCGATTAACCGATTAATCGAACTTAATAATCGGCTAACTAATCGATTTTGAAAATAATCGTTAGCTGCAGCTCTACTCCCTATAGAGGGGGAATCCGGGTGAGATGCTCTGCAGTGTTGTTCCCCGGGATTGTCTGTGTGTCTGTGCTCCCCATAGAGGGGGAATCCGGGTGAGATGCTCTGCAGTGTTGTATCCCGGGATTGTCTGTGTGTCTGTGCTCCCCATAGAGGGAGACTCCGAGTGAGATGCTCTGCAGTGTTGTATCCCGGGATTGTCTGTCTGTGCTCTCCATAGAGGGGGAATCCGGGTGAGATGCTCTGCAGTGTTGTGCATAGGCCCTTCCCATTTACCCAAATTCTTGGGTAAATGGAGGTCCTGGGTGTGATCAGACAGTGCTGAGTGTCTCTCTCTTGTAGAATGTCCCTCGGGGGAGGAGCCTGAGGTCCTGGGTGTGATCGGAGAGTGCTGAGTGTCTCTCTCTTGTAGAATGTCCCTCGGGGGAGGAGCTGGAGGTCCTGGGTGTGATCAGAGAGTGCTGAGTGTCTCTCTCTTGTAGAATGTCCCTCGGGGGAGGAGCTGGAGGTCCTGGGTGTGATCGGAGAGTGCTGAGTGTCTCTCTCTTGTAGAATGTCCCTCGGGGGAGGAGCTGGAGGTCCTGGGTGTGATCGGAGAGTGCTGAGTGTCTCTCTCTTGTAGAATGTCCCTCGGGGGAGGAGCTGGAGGTCCTGGGTGTGATCGGAGAGTGCTGAGTGTCTCTCTCTTGTAGAATGTCCCTCGGGGGAGGAGCTGGAGGTCCTCTTTGTGGAGAAGATCCGGCAGTGCTGTGTCCTCTTTGACTTTGTCTCGGATCCTCTGAGTGACTTGAAGTACAAGGAGGTGAAGCGCGCGGCGCTGACGGAGATGGTGGATTTTATCACGCACGGTCGCGATGTTCTGACGGACAGTATTTACCCCGAGGCGGTGCACATGGTGAGTGTTCTCCTTCTTGTCCTCGGACAGTCGCTTGTCCATCTCTGAGCCTCTAACAGTCTCTTTCCTGTCAGTTCTGTGTGAACCTGTTCCGGCCCCTGCCGCCCTCTTCTAATCCTAGCGGAGCCGAGTTTGATCCGGAGGAGGACGAGCCGACATTGGAGGCCGCCTGGCCACATTTACAGGTAGTCCTCATACTGCCCCCCAAATATCCGCGGGGGAGGAGCTTGAGGGGGCCCCTAGGTGCCATGCCTGAATAAGACATATGTGGGTGATCTATGGGGAGGAGCTTGAGGGGGCCCCTAGGTGGGATAATGGTGCCATGCCTGGATATGACATATGTAGGTGATCTGTGGGGGAGGAGCTTGAGGGGGCCCCTAGGTGGGATGCCTGAATATGACATATGTGGGGGGGGAGCTTGAGGGGGCCCCTAGGTGCCATGCCTAAATAAGACATGTGAGGGGATCTATGGGGGAGGAGCTTGAGGGGGCCCCTAGGTGGGATAATGGTGCCATGCCTGAATATGACATATGTAGGTGATCTGTGTGGGAGGAGCTTGAGGGGGCCCCTAGGGGGATGCCTG